TGGGAAACATTCACAGCTTGGTACAAAACGTCAGCCTTATCAGATTTCTGTGGTGAAGATTCTGCGCATTCCTTAGAGTGGAATCACTGAAGGAGAGCAGAAAATCCAGTCCCCGGACAGGCATAAAGAATAGGCCATGCTGATCTCAAGGCATTTTTAAAAATGCCTCCATTTATTTATTTATGAGTGGGCAGACTTTTCATATGCTGCAGAGCATGAGGCTCTAATGAAAGTTACACTGAGGAATTCTATTGACATGTTGTATGAGACTTGATGATCGAGAATGAAATTATTCACTCCATGGATATCAGCCCAAAAGGCTGGAGATATAACCTGTCCAGGTTTCAGTTCTGGGAATTGTTCCTCACAGTCTATTCTTCACTGGATTACAAGCTAAAATGTAATATCATATTAGCTCCCTTATGCCTGTCCTGCATCAAACATGATCACATCACAACTTTCCAGCAGAAGGCTCTGGACAATTCCTGTCAATTTGAAGAACTATCTTTCCCCCCCAAACCGGGGGGGGGGGGGATTGCAAAAAAAATTCTCTTTGTTTCAAGTTTGTCATCTTTTATTACTTTCTGAATTGGGCTTTGTCCTATTTTGAACTTCCACTTCATTTCATGGTGAGAACCTACCTCGTTTCTGCACGATTTACGTAAGTCAAGTATTACACTGATCCACTGTAGAGATGCATTCAGTTCTTAACTAAACGAATGTCAAATTCAAAGTATTACCATATGCACTACAGATAAAGGGTTGGGTCCAGCAGTCTGCTCACACAAGGATTGTGAGTCATCACAGTTTTTCCGCTCACAGAGCAGTGCCTACCAGCCATGGCAAATTGATTCCCAGGATTGTGGAGGGAGTAATCACCATTCAGGTTGCTGGGCTGGAGTTAGGGGGGAGTGCCTCTTCCGTCAGCAGAGCCCCATTGACAGAAAAGAAAGCTCCACTGATAGAAGACCAGAAAGGGTAAATTATCTATGTTCTTCTTGTATCAGGATTTTGCCATTGTAATAATGTTTCCCCTTCCACTGAAGTGCTTCAAAATAGCAGAGTATCTAGATAAGAGGTTCTCAAGTTTTATCCTCAGTCCTTCAGCCAAATAAAATATATAACTATTCAAACTTCTCTAAATTAAGGTAAGGAGGTGAGTCTCACATTTTGGCCAGCATGGTGTAGTGTTTAAGAACAGTGGACTCTATTCTGGAGAACCAGGTTTGATTCCCCACTCCTCAACATGAAGCCTGCTGGGTGACCTTGGGCCAGTCACAGTTCTCTCAGAACACTCTCAGCCCCACCTACCTCACAAGGTGCCTGTTGTGGGGAAAGGAAGGGAAGGTGATTGTAAGTGGCTTTGAGACTCCTTAAGATAGAGAAAGGTGGGCTATAAAAAACCACACTCCTCCTTCTAGAAGTAGGAAACATTTTCATGTGGCGTTGGGTCAGTATGGCAGCTGTTAATATATGAAAAACGAACCACATGGATCATTGGGTGATGACTCCACACGTGGGTCACAACTGCTGCCTGGAATGTGCAGCACTGGCAGTGCAGTCCTCTGGCAATAGGAGTGATCCATGTGATGAATGATTTACACTGTGGGATCTCAGCCAAGCAGAACTACTGTGGCACAGAAGCCTTTCTAGCAGCTTGCATGTGGCAGCTGGAATGTGACAATCAGCCCCCTTAAGATAAAGACCAGGCAGGATCACCAGGCAGCATTCAGTCTTATGCACTCTGCTTACGACCAAATAAATCAATAAAGCAACACAGTGCTCTCTAGTGGCTGGTTCAGTGGTTCCCAGATCAGTATTTCCCTTGGAGGCAGTCATCTTCCTTTGTGATTACTTTCTCTAGAGGAATAGCCATTCTACTTTGTTGCGGCAAAACCCACAAAGAGTCCTGCGGCACCTTAAAAACTAATTTACTGTGACTTAAATATGAATGGGCTAGAAGCCCTTTATTAGATGCATGGAAGTGGTGTAGTAAATTAGCAGATGCGTGTTTGTTTACGGAGGAGGGAAAGACTCTGTAAAATGGTGTGGCCAAAAATATGAAATGTAGAGGAAAGAACTGCTGCCTGTTGTTTTTCATGGACCTTCAACCCCACTGTTTACAAACCTTTTCCTCTCCTGTGGAGATAGATCAAGATGGGTAGACATGTTAGCCTGTCTGTTGCAGTAGAAAAGAGCAAGAGTATCTAAAATATGTGGCAGGGTAGGAGCTTTCGTGAGTCACCGCTCACTTCTTCAGATAACCACATATTCAGATAACCTGCCACATATTTTGTTAGTCTTTAAGGTGCTACTGGACTTTTGCTCTTTTCTTCCTCTCTTGTGTATTCCTGAGATCGATAGATACAGAGGAATACAAATATGTGAACGCAAACATATTTCAAGGTTGGAACCCTTCACACTGAAAACACCTTTTATTCCAGCCCTCAGATATCCGTAAACATAAGAACAAACAGGCTTTATGGCAAACAATGAAAGAGAAATTACATTAGGCCATGGTCCAGTCAGAGTTATGCACTTCAAAATCCTTTTGATTTCAGTGGGTAAATTTTCAGCATGTGCATTTAACCGTCCCATTGAAATTAACAGGAAATCAAAAGTGCTTAACTCCAGGTGGCCTGTGCCATTAAAAACAGCCAACGTGCAAACTTCCTCCAGAACTAACTGAGATAAGGATTACATGAACTAGCCTTACTTTTGCATGAAGCATATTTGCTGTGGTTGCAGTCTGTTATTATCCTGTCACATAAACATCGTAGATTATTAAAATGCTATGCAGTCTTGGTTAACAACCCTGGTACACAGCCTTCTGAGCGACCTTTTGATCTTTACCCTTTAAATCTTATCTGTAACCATGTCCCACCCATGCCTTGGAATTGCATTCTTCCTTTCATGCCTTCTACCATAAGAGCAACATGTTATGCTATATAAGGGCAATGAGAAAATTTGCCTCATCATCACAAGTAACTCTGTAGCTGAGTGTAAGGGGGCACATATTAATGCAGATAAAAATCTTGTCTCTGAAGTGCTGCCAATGCTTCTTAGCAGGTGAATGAATAACACAAGTCTATGGATTTTTCAACGTTACAGAAGCTAAAGTTCATTGAGTTACCTGAATGGTTAATGCGACATTTTTGCTTTACCGATGAAGTGAAACTAGAGCCTGGCTGCTATTTCCCCCAACTTCCCTGAACTCTCTGCAACTGGAATGATTCCCTGAAGACCTTGAAGGGCTAGTTGTCTCACACCCAAAATGGAAAATAATCTGAAGAATATCCTTGTTGTCTCATTTGGATTCTTGCTTCTGTTTACTGCTTATGGAGGGCTCCAGAGCCTACAGGTGAGAGGACTTAATTATGGTACTTGTTCCCCAAGGAACATGGGAGTCCATTCAGGAAAGATATATTGAATGAACGATAGCTCTGTAGGCATGTGGCGTTCCAGTGTGGAATGAAAGAAAAGCCAGGAACAACTAAAAATGAACAGAATATAGCCCAAGAAACTCATAGTGTCCAGATACGGCTAGTAGAAAAACAGAAATGTCATGTTACTAGCGAAATTTGGAAGGCCAGCCAACTCACCTTATTGTGCCTGGTTTGAAAGGGTGTGGGCTCCCTGTTCCCTATAAAGAATACTTAAGTCATTGTGGTAGAAAACACCTTTCTTGTAACAAAGAGGCCCCTAAGGCACTAAATGCCATACTTCCACTTGCAGTGCTAGCCGGTGGATATGGAAAGAAAGGTGTGTGCCTTTCTTTTCCCCTTGTCCAAGATGTTTGGCTTCCAGAATTCGACAGGCCTCCCCCTACAACTGCAGGAGCATTGCACACACACACCCCCATTGCTTCTAGACGTTCCTATGAACAGACTGGCTCTCCTTAATTCCTGTTTTAACTAAGGTCAGGTTCTTGCCCTATCATCTGTAATAAGGGAAATCAGAAAGGTAAAATATTTTACATTTTACATTTTGTAAAATAAAAACCAGTCAACAAATGAAGATGCTTTCTTGTCCTTCACTCCACCACCTTGTCAAAGGCTGTGGTCACACACACTAAATAATCCACTTTCAATGCACTTTACAACTGGATTTTACAGTGTGAACTGGCAAAATCCAATTCGAAAGTGCATTGAAAGTGGATTATTTAGTGTGTGTGATCGCAGCCTTTAGTCTCCAGCTATTTATTGTACATGTTTGTATCTGTTGCATTTTTGTCTCTACAGAGCAGTCTCCACTCTGAACAAGGCCTGGGCGTTGCCTCTCTAAGCGTTGTCTATGGAGCTCTTATCCTGTCTTCCATGTTTCTCCCACCAATGCTCATTAAGAAATTTGGATGCAAGTGGACCATTGTAGGCTCCATGTGCTGCTACGTCACATTCTCCTTGGGCAACTTCTATCCCAGCTGGTATTACTGATAGCCTGCTTCCTATGAAATCTGTAGTCTTTGAGGGGAGGAGGGTTCTTGAAAAATACTGTCAACCTAATCAATGTACTGAAGACTACCACCATCTGAGGGGGCATGGCTCAGTGGTAGAGCATCTGCTTTGCATGTAGAAGGTCACAGGTTCAGCTCTCAGCATTGCCAGTTAAAAGCATTAGGTGATAGGTGATGTGAAGGACCTCTGAGACCCTGGACAGCTACTGCCAGTATGAGTGAATACTGACACTGATTGACCAATGGTCTGATTCAGCATAAGGCAGCTTTTTGGATACTCATTGGGTGATTTTTTGAGGATTGAGTAGATGCGGGGAAAATCGCACGAAGCTGCAGGGCAAAATGCGGCCACGCAGCAGCTTGTGTGAAATTGACACGTACCATCGGGGCAAAAGGGAGGACTTAGCACGGAGCAGCGCTTGTGGGAAATCACCCATTGGTCCTTTCCACACTTCGATCTTATCCCTGGTTTTTATCAGAGTTCAACTCGTGACATGATACCTTGCATTTATCCCTGGTTATAACAGCATCCATTTATCCTGAGACAAGTGTGGCACAAAACTGGGGTGACCGCAATGTAATGTGAAAACAAAAAAGACCCCAAGATAATTACAGGGGTGAACTCAAGTGTAGTGCAGAGTGTAATTTTGGGGACAGGGTTGAACCAGGATTGAAGGACCATTTAGGGCTGCCAACTGGCCTGGGAAAAATTCCTATCCCTTTAACAGATATTTAATTAGCAGAAATGGACTGTTGAAGTTTTTCATGGCATGGAGCTGGTATTTGCTGCAGATCATCATGGGCTGCTGATCAAGCTGATCAAATTGATACCAAAAAGGACAACAAGAGGGATTGGGTTAGAAGTTGGCAACCCTGATGCTCATGCAGATTTTTTATGCATTTGCAGGACCTGGATGTCTTAATGTCTTATTTTTACGGGTGGAGCCTAAGTGAATGCTTTTGCTCTGGGGGCACTTTGGGATGTTAAAATCTCCTGGGAGAAAGCTGAGCCAAGTTTTCCCTCTGATGCTGCAGGAACTGTTCGGCTAGGACCTGGTCAGTTGCAGTGTTGGGGTGGGATCCCCATTTCTTCCTCCAATGTTGCCACTCGTGGCGTGGGAGTAGGCATTGTGTGAACCTACAGCCACCACGGCTGCTGCTCAGGTCTGAGCCACATGGCCCACTCTTGTCATCCACAGCCTGGAGAGAATTCATTTGTATGACACCCCTGGTTCAGCAGTTCAGCAGCCCCTATAAAGGGAACATACTTGAATGCTTCATGCCGCCTCCTGGTTCAGGAGCCCCTGTCCTTTGACATGAAGTAAGAGGGGAACAGAAGCATCGTAAACTACTGGGTGCATTTCTTTCCTTCTTCCCTGGCTGCCATCCTTCTATCTAGAGATTCAAGGCTGATCATCTTCTGCCTGATTATGAAGAATTAAGATGTAGTACAGAACAAAGAACAACCTTCTAGATTGGACTTTGATTAGTGATGAGAAATGAAAGTTTGGTTTTGGTTCACAGTTGTCCCCACAATTAGATGATGTTCAGCTCTCAGTTTTCAATCCATTCTCCTAGATTAGGACATGTAACTGAGGACAGCCGCTGCCCCAGCTTCTTTTCTGTGTTTCTGTCCCTCCTCTGCTCTTCTATGAGCCCTCATTGGAACACAACAGCTAAGCATATCCAGACTTTTTGATAAGCAATCTGCCCAAGAATGAGAAAGCTGAATAAAGAGAACGTTACTTAAGCTAGGCTTGTGTGTGGCCATTGGTTTTGTAGTCTAGGTGATCGCTAGGTTCTCTTCCTCTAGTGGACAAAGCCCTGAGCCATATTAAGCAAAGTGGAAGCCAGTAAATGCAGCATCTAACACCTGGTGTTTTAGTATATTTATACTCGAAATAGTGAGGTATGAGGGAGGAAAAACTTCACCTAGGCTGTGGTCACACTGGAGGCTAGATGCAGTCTAGGTGCATCTCTAAGTGCGCTGGTTCAAATTGTTGCGGGAAAGACCAACCAGACAGCACACCCTGCGGCAGTTTTCCTGCATGTTCATCTGGTGGTGAGGCATCCAACCACAGAGCATGCTGCCCAGTTGGTTTCTTTAAAAAAAAACACAGGTGGGCACATGCACATATGCGCTCATGTGCTTATGTGAATATTTGAATATTGGCAGCTACTAAAAAAACCCACCTGGCGGAAATGGATCTGCTGGTTCAGACTTCTCCTCCAGCTTCAGTTTGTGATGGGGAGCTTAGCTGGAAAAGTGGAATGGAAGCGCTGGCATCGGTAAAGGCCAGACTTTCCCCGGTGACTGGTTACTCTGCTTCTGAAGTGGGGCAAAACAGGGTGGCCACAACTGGGGCATGGAAGGCAGAAGTTGTTTTCTTTAAATCCGCAAAGGTACCGCAACGATATCACTGCAAACTGCTCATGTGACCACAGCCTAGTGTTCTGTTATCCTGACACCTTTGTTTCTACCCAAGTGCACTAAATAATGTTTTTTTAAAAAGAGTTGGGTCTATGTAATAAAAACTCATGATCACAGCCATGCAGAATGATAAATAATCCATTGAGCTTTGTTAGCATAATCAATTTATTACCTATTTATCTCACCCTTCATCCAGATGTAGTTCTTCCATCCTGCATTTCATTCTCACAGCAACTATGTGAATGTGTTAAGCTAAGAGTGACTGACCCAAGGTCACCCACCTAGTGAGCTTCATGACCAAGCAAGAATCTGAACCTGGGTCTCCCTACACTCTAACCACTAACCTACTGCCTCTCAATTATCTTCCTACCAATCATCTATTCTCATTTCTCTTAACAGAATTTATATATCTCTTCCTTACCAGTGAGGAAAGTAAATTGCTTGTTTCTCCAGAACACCAAAATGTCTTTGCTCATCATCTGAGCTCAATAATGAATGTGGGAGAAACGGTGTTCTGGAACTTCACATTGTTTCTGCCTGTCTGAATTGATTCTGCTCACTTTCTCAACTGATAATAACTGAGGATTCCCAGTAGGTTTAATTCCCAATGGATTTAAACCTCCTCCCATAACTGCATGAATTTGTAAAAAAAATGTTGTATGGTTCATGGAGACTTCTTTAAATATTGCTTCATTTAACACAAATTGAATATGATAAAATAATTATGTCTAACTGACCTGTTCTTGATGAAAGGGCCAAGACCTATTGAGATATTCACTTATGATGAGAAGGATGATGAGATGGTAGGATACCTTTCATATGATCTAATTCCTTGTGGGTCTTAGCACAGAACTACTGAAAAAAATACGTAATGATAAAGTTTGAGAATTTTATTTTATACCTTGCTTTTTTCTCCAGCAGGGACCAAAGGTAGCTTACAACATTTTTCTCCCCTCCTCCATTTTATCATCACAACAGCAGGTAGCTATGTTGAGAGAGACGGGGGGGGGGGGGGACTGGCCACAGTCACTCAGTGAACTTCCATGGCAGATCGGGGAACCTGGGTCTTCTAGACCTACTCTAACCGCTATTACTATGTTGGCTTTCATATTGTTTGGCTTGTTTTTCACAGTGAGTTAGTGCTCAAAATAAATAACTAAATATTGTGTTTTTGATAGGTATACACTGATCCCAACGTCTGTGATCTTGGGTCTGGGAGGAGCACCTCTCTGGTCTGCTAAATGCACATACCTCACCATTGCTGGTAACATCTATGCCCAGAAAGCAGGAAAAATAGGAAAAGATGTTATCAATCAGTATTTTGGGATCTTCTTTCTGATATTCCAGTCTTCTGGAGTCTGGGGAAATCTTATATCTTCTTTAGTGCTTGGCCAGTCTACTAACACAGGTAAATGTATCTTTCTTCCCTGTCTTTTTCCTTTAAGACGGGTATGCTACAAGCATAGTGGATCCACCACCACCCCCGCGCGCCTCCCAATTACTGCCTTTAAAAACCAGGAGACAGTGTCAAGTAGAGTACTGCAGAATCAATTTCAGTGATAACAGGCAGTACCAAGAGAAAATGAGAAGTGGTTCATTTTAAAAAATACAGCAGTATGATGTGATGACTGTATCCTTTACTGAATCCTTAGTTCATTTTAGAAGAAAATAAAAATTTCTTAAAGAATAAAGCTTATCATCAAATTGTAATGCTCACAAAAGCTCACAAAAGCTAAAACGAAATGCCATTGTCCTTTCCCAATCCATCAGGCAAGGGAACACCCTGTTCCATTTAAGGACAAGAGAGCGTTGTAGCTGTGGGGTTCTTTGGCTGAATACAGCCACAGTTGGAAGGAGGAAGAAAGCATAAGTTGCAGGCAGGCACCTTCCCCCTATCATTGCTATTTTTAAAATCGGAAGTAGCTACAAGAACTCCATGTTGCCACAATGTGTACTTAAATGTGATCCAGATATGGTCTGAAAAACATCTGCTGCAGCAACCTTGTAAAAATCTGAGTTGGTTGGGGTCTGAACAGGAGGCCTTCTAGGAATCCCGTATAAGCTACCTTGTGCACTCCATAATGGAAGACAGATGGGATATGAATATAAGAAGCCTGCAAAATGGTTTTGCTAGTGCCTTGCTGAAGAAACCATTCAGCCCCAATAAATGTAATTGCTGCTCATTAGCCTTGACCTGGAGACTTTGCAGCCCAAGGCATTGAACTCACAGTGACACTGGGGTGTGAGCTGGGAGGTGTCCTACTTTATGATTTATGATGGCAAAATTATGCAATTCTGGGGAAAATTAGTTCTGAAATGATTTAGTCTAGAGATGTATGCCCTGACCTGGGTGGCTCACGCTAGCTCACCATATCTTGGAAACTAAGCAGAATCAGCCCTGGTCAGTATTTGGCTGGGAGACCACCAAGGAAGTCCAGGTTGGCTACTATCAGGCAGGCAATGGTAAACCACCTCTGAATGTCTCTTGCCATGAAAACCTTATGGGGTTGCCATGAGTTGGCTGTGACTTGGCAGTACTTCCTACCACCACCATATTGTGTCCTGACTTGGATAGCCCAGCCCAACCCAATCTTGTTAGATCTCAGAAGCTAAACAGTGTTGGCCCTGGTCAGTATTTGGCTGGGAGACCACCAAGGAAGTCCAGGTTGGCTACTATCAGGCAGGCAATGGTAAACCACCTCTGAATGTCTCTTGCCATGAAAACCTTATGGGGTCACCATAAGTCAGCTGCCATTTGACCAAAAAAGAGAGAGAGAGATGTATATAATTCTGTATTTTTATTTTTAGTTATTTTTAGTTGTGTCATATTTAGTTTAGGATTATTAACTCAGGCCAGAAAGAGTAGGCTGTTTAAAAGTAAATCCACAGGTAACAATACAAGTAGCCAGTTACTAGCCAGTGTCATGCTGGCCATGAATAAAACTCAACTGATTGAACAGGAACTAATTCAAAACTCTGGTAGCTATCCTAAAGTGATAGCTTCAAGGCAACATCATGTTTGTATGTGTTCCAAAGGAAGATTTACACAATGCAAAAGGGCACAGTTTGGGAAATTAAGCTAGTATTCTTTTATGCTCTAGTAGTTCTCTGACCTATCTGGAAGGAAATGACTCTCAGAATTCTTAGGAACTCATTTAAAAACCACTACCATATAATTTCGGTTGGTTGTCTTACTGCCTTAGTTTTGACCTGCATTGTGACTGCTAACGTTCTTCTTTTGTTCTGGTTTGTTAATGGACTTGCAGCAAACTCAGAAGCAGATCTGGCATGTTGTGGCGCAAATGACTGCATGGAAAATCCAGTTGGAAATGACTCCAGAAGTTCAAATGGAACAAGTGATACCTTAGTCTACACACTGCTTGGAATTTATACTGGTAGATAGCCTCAGGTTCTCTTATGTGATATATGGGACAGTGTACATAAATGAAATTTACAATTGTTTCACTGAATAAGCTTTGATATGCTATTCCTCACAAGCTCAGTAGGTTTAGCCACACTGTAAAATGGTTGTTGTCAAAACTCCCAAGTTTTAACTGTATTTTAATTGTCCTTAAAATAAAAGGATTGGTTTACCTAACCTAGGCTGCGGTCAGAGGTACCATTTGGCGAGGAGGGGAGGTGCCCCTATTACCTACAGTGGAATTTGACTCGCAGTCATGTGATCACACACCCGTTTGTGCTCTGGGCTCAGCCTGTCACAGCATGATCAGACACCCCATTCGGGCGAGTGAGGTTGCCTTTTGTTTCCCATGGACATAATGAGGAATCAAACCTCCGCATGGAGGGTTCCCCATGGAGTATGCGGTTATGTGCATACTGCAAAGCAAGGGGGGAAACGGCACCAAGTCAGGATGGAATGGTCAGACCATCCCCGACGGCTTGATAGTGTGCTTGAGCAATCATACTAGGGAAACTCTGTCCATGACCCAGGACCAGACTTTCCCCAGTGTCTTTCTCAGATGTTGCTGTCTGATTGTGCACTTTAAATCTGTCAGGCATTTGCAGCTATGTCAGATCTAAAGGCACATCTGATTGCAGCCCTACTTTCCCATTTTACAAATTAAAAAATTTTTTTGGTATGGCATGATAAATGAGTATTGACAAAGGATATCAAAAGGAGACATAGATAAAATTTCTGCCAGAAAGATGACAAGAAACATCTGCTTCTGACTGTGTTGGTTAGCTATGTAGTGTGACCAGTTATGCCGTATTTGACTTCTTTCCAAGATGAGACCCAGTTTCCTAGAACAGAATTTAGCATACACTTTTCTCAATATTTGATTTAGTTTATTTATAGACCTTTCAGCTCAATGCCAGCCAGTAAGATATAATTAAAATTAAATAAAATACATTAAAATCAATACCATAAACATGTATAAAACACTGAATTCCAAATAGTGCTTACTAGGATTGCCTCTTAAAGAGGCAATACACAAAAGGTGATATACATCATTCTCCCTTCCCCTTTTTATCTTCACAACAAACCTGTGAGTTGAGTTACACTGTGTACGTGGGACGTCCTAGGGTCACCCTGCCAGTGTTATGGCAGTGTGGATTTAAAGCCTTTCAGTGTCAAATCTTGCAGTGAAAATCGCATTCAAAATGTTAATATAAGCTTTGAATGTAGAATTTTTCACTGAAAACTTGAGCAGTGAGAATGGAATTCAATAACGAATACTCTGTATGAGTATTGTAATTTATTTTATGTGTATTATAAAATTTTAGGCTGCTTTATGTAAGCTGCCCTGAGCCAGCTTCAACCAGGACTGCGGGATAGAAATATTATTATTGTTGTTGTTGTTGTTGTTGTTACTATTATTACTATTATTATTACTATTATTATATGTTAATTTCTGCTGTAGATCATATGGAGATACCTGTGTGCATATGAAGCTGCTCTCCATTATTGTAATAAAGCTTAATATGGTTGTTCTAAAATGTAATTTTCCTCGTCACATAAATTTTGTAGAAGGCTGACACTACATCTGAAGACAGAGACTCAGAATGCATAATTTCATGTTGTCCCGGTGTTTACAGTGTAGACGTTAGGGCTTTCATAATGGCATCAGTGCAACCTCTGACCTGACTCAAAAGGATAAGAAGTTTTTCTTATGCAAACACACCGCTGGTTTTTCCAGCTGTCAGAACACAAAGACCACATTTGAACAGAGAGAATGATGTGTGGCAAGCGCCGTGAAGATTTAGGTTTAAGGCAGAGATTATATGTAAATTCCTTTGCCTCTAAGTCTTGATTTGTTAGGAACTCATATTTATCACATGATCTGACCCCCTACTGAAATTTGATTATAATAAATCAATTTTCTCTTACATTCCGGTTCTTATATTATTATTGCAATTATCCCTTGAATATGCAGGTAGTGGGGTGCTAGCTGTGTTGTTGGTCGCCGTGTTTCTGGATCAGATTACAGCCAACAAAGAAGAGAACAAAGAGAAAACACCATCATTCTGTTCCACCTTCTTGGCAACATTCTGGCATCTTAAAGATGTGCGCCAGTGTCTCCTGATTCCGCTGACCATGTACAGTGGATTTGAACAGGGATTCCTTGCTGGTGACTATACCAAGGTAGGAATGCAAATGAAACTCATGTTGCTCTTTCCATCCTTACATCCCATTCCACTGTATTTGAAAAAGTGTGCTTTGCACACGAAAGCTCTTACCTTGAATAAACCTTTGTTGTTCTTAAAGGTGCCACTGGACTCTAATTTTTTTTCCATCCTTTCCACTGTTATCTCAGCTACCACAGTTATTCAGTACATTAAACTTATGCTCATTAGGGGTTCAGGATATTCTCTGTTAAATCTGCCATACTGTTTTTTAATTCTTGAATTGACTGTAGGCCTCTTCCACATTTTGGGAGTAACAGAATCCACAAGCAGAGGCCACCCAACAGTTGTGGGGGGGGGGAGGTTACAACCTGAGCCTGAAAATAAAGAAGTGAAGGACATTCACTCCTCAACTGCTGAAATGGCAGATCATTATGTGACAACAAACACAAGATCTAGTGACTGAGACCTTTTCCACACACTTGAGTTACTCCTGATTTTCTTGGGCGCCAATCCACAAGCAATGGAATTGGTTTGGGCAGAGTTCTTCTGCATGTCTTCCCTCCATGTGCATTTTACAGTTGTGGAAGTAGTTTATTTTCTTCTGCACATGGGTTAAATAATTATTTTCAAGTGAGGATGCTGTTGTCATTGGTGTCATTATTGGTGGTGTCAGCGTTTTTTTGAAAAACAGCCATCAAATATCACTCTATCACTGTAGTGTTGTAATAATAGTTTAAGCTGGTTCTCTGAATTCCATTTTTTTTAAGTAAGTCTCTAGCTCCTACCCTCGTGGAGATGTAGGGAGAAAAGCATATCTCAAGGGAAGAAACATTAGGTACTAGGAAAACAGCAACTCAGAATCGGCTTCCAGAAAAACATTGGGGTAAAAGTGATCTCAAGGCTGGGGGAAAAACAAAATTCAAAGTGAAATTTTGCATGTGGAAATCAGGGGATAAACTAAATGCATGTGGAAATCAGGGACAAAAATGTGGAAAAGCCCACTATCTCGTGAGATCTTAGCCACTGTTTTAAAATGCCAGAGCTGCATTTTAGGAAATTGGTCAGGAGAACATTGGGGGGGGGGATAGGGGTGGTAGTAGGAGGTAGAGGAGGAAGGATGGAAGTGGGAAAGCAGTAGTGGGAAGGTGGAAGGAAAGAAATGACAGAATGTCAGATAAAAGGAAGGATGTGTTCAGTACAGGCAGCAGCATGGGGAGAAACATGGAAGATAGGAAGAGAGAGGATGATGGAAGAGTGGAGGCTAATGGAGTGATGGTGTTTCCCCTCTCCCATGAGTTCCTCATGGAGTCCCTGCTTTCTAAAGTCTACTTTCAAGCAATGCATTCACAAGACACAGGTCATTCTTAGGACCAGACATGTGAATGGAAGATTTATCTCCACTTACCGTGCAGCTTCCTTCTCGGTGGTCCAGACTGAAGCAGTCCTTTAGACTCCTTACTCCTGGGAATAGCTCCTCCTCTCCAAAGGCAGGGCCAGCAAACACTTTAGTCACAGAGGGGGGGGACTTCTCCCCTGGAACCCAGTCGTTCTCCAAGCCTCCATTCCCCTTCACTGCAAAGGAAACTGACAACAACATCACTCCCAACAGGGAGCTAACCACCCAACAAACATTAAAGAACTCATCCCCCAGGCAGAACTGTCTAGGGCAACCTACCCCCAGCCCTTGTCTGTGTTTTAAGAACATAAGAGATGCCAATGTTGGATCAGGTCAAAGGCCCATCCAGTCCTACTCTGTCACACAGTGGTCAAAAATACCAGTGCCATCAGGAGGTCCACCAGTGGGGCCAGGACATTAGAAGCCCTCCCACTGTTGACCTCCCCCCCCAAA